ATTGAACAGTCCATCGTATCAGGCCACAGTCAAGGTTCACCAGCTTTTTAAGAGAAATTTCTGGCACTGAATCTTCTAGTCGCATTGCAGAGTTCTACGGCGTTGACGAAGGAAAAAGCTTTTTCTGATGCGTGCATCAGTGCTACATTGGACAACAGTAAAACGCAAAGTATTCTGGTCAACCAAAATTATCTCCTACCACGAGTGAGTTCCGGCCTCAAAGCTTCCTTAAAGTGTTGGAAAATATTTTTCTTGGAAAGTTGTTGTTATCGCTCTGAGTAACTTTTTAAAGGTGAATGCGTTGGCCGGATACTTGGGTTCTACCTTCACTTACGTGTACGGTGGCGATGTGGAAGCCCTACCAGATCCTACTCAGCTAGCCAACGCTATGGCTTATCTGTCCTTCACTCAGGTAGCTGCTTTTGATACGAAATTTAAGTGAATGTAAATGAGTGGAAATTCGCTATGCAAATGCAGCGTAAATGTGGCACGTTAAGAGCATTGATACCCTCGTGACGCCTCTTGTCGACACAAATTGGGTGGATCCCACGAAAGGATACAGAATGTTCGTCGATCAGAATACCGCGTACATGAGGTATAGCTGTTTTATACTGAATAACCATAAACGACTTTTGATGCATACCTAAACAACAGAACGACACAGGGAATCCTTTTTTGTAAGGACATAGCCCAGGAGGTCCACGTTACGGTGACGCGGCGACATCGTGTGTCACGCGCGCGAAACTCGCAAGAACCTGAATCGATACGGCATAGGAGTGCTTCACTGTGAGGAGATGGCTAGTCAGGAATTAAGAGCTCTTTTAGAGCGTAACTTTCCCGAATAACGGTTTCATTGTTAATGCTATCTCTAATGTGCTTGAGTCTCTCTGAGGTTTCCGAAGTTCTTTCAGTAAGTGCACTTGTGAGGAGAAATTTTCTACTCACTCCCTCTTTTACCTCTCTTCACTCACAGTCCACTACTAAAACCTTTTCGTTGACGCTCCACAAATCCTTGGTTCTTGTGTCGGTATTAGGATCGTCTGTGTAAAACCAATCAACCTTTTGAGCAGAGACAGGGCCAGCATCATTGTATGAGCTCTATTTTAGAGTACTATCCTCACCAGACCGAAGTAGGTATCTTTTCACGGCATGTTCATGACCTCTATGTACTTCATCTACATTCAAAATCCTTGTGGCTCATTGAAGGCGGTGTGGCCTGTGCAGACTTGCGGGGCAGGCCGATGTACGAGTCAGGGTGTAGCGATTCGAGTGTGTGATTGTCCCACCCTTTCCGCAACCCCCCGCATGCCAGACGAGTCTGGTACCAATTTGCCGTCCGGGGGGGGGGTGGGAGGCTCGGTTGGCCATTGGAGCCGTTCGTGACTTCGCGCGCGTTGTAAGCAGGGCACGCCATCGTTGTGACGTTGTGATGATCACAGCGGGGGAGGGGTCGTATTTGGTCTGACCAGGAAAGCTCAACAGGTCAGCCTGGCCATTTGCAATGAGATGCACATCACTGTACTCATCTCTCGGAGTTATGGAGGTTTTTCTTTACTGTTTTTCTTCTTACGGGCGCGCTGGCGCCGAAGCGTTGGCACATGTAGCGCGACTCACAGCGCTCTTCGCGCAAAACAGGTATCATATTCGTGTTCAGGGGGTCAAATAACCCCTAGGGACGTCACCTTAGCGAAATCTGAGCTTCTGACTCAACTTCTGCTGTATGGATAGTCATGGCTGACTGATAGCTAACAGCGATACTATGACTAGCATACTGGTGATGACTGGTCTTCGAACTGAAATAACTCTTCAGTCATGTCTTTTCGCAAACAACAGTACCTGGCTTACTTATTTGTGCCGTCTGCATCATTTTCTTGACTATCGGGAGGAAATCCCATTCCGAGACCAGTCATCGATGGTAGGTGAGCTCCAATCTGCTGCTAATTACCCATGGAATAGCCCACATTTTCCAAGTGAGGTCGAAATATCAGATTCGGCTAGAAACTTGTCCCCAGGGGTAATTTAACCCGCTGAACATGAATATGATGGTATTTCATTGCAAAAACCCTTGTGACACGTGTTACGAGGGGTACAAGCAGAAGCACTCTTTCAGGCCACAATGGGTCTACACTTAAAAAAAACTGATCGCAGGTTCCCTTATAGGGTAGTGCAGGCGAGCAGAGATGTTAGAAGCTTTGTCGGCTATGTTCTTGGACAAATGCAAAAAAGGGACCTGCCCCGGAACCGATCCTACGACGTCTCGCCTAAGAAACCCGCTCCCTACCCGTTGCGCTCTACTACCACGTTTCAGAACGACTCCATACATAAATGTAAAGACGCTTCCACGTTTCCTCGCGATAGCATGTGAAACGACCATGCGGGGATAAAACCCTCCATAACTCCGTTCAGAGAATCGTTCTGCAAATTTTGAAGAGTTCTGAGTTCACCGTCCCAAGACGCGTACAACGGTGTGCAGCTCATTGGAAATGGCCGGGCTGACCTGATGACCTTTCCTGGTAGGTAATCCTGACGACGCCCCCCCCCCCGCTCGACAGCAAAATTTTGGGGAAAAACCAGAAGGAAATTTCGGAAAACTGGTAGGAGGTTAGGGAAAATCTGAGAAATTTTCCTGTTTCGGTTTCCTGTTCCTCCCCTCCTGGGAAAATCTTGGCTGAAAAACTGGTAATTTTTCGGGAAAAAATGTAAAAAGTGATAGGGAGTTAGGAAGTTGGGATAAATCTAGAAAAGTGGTAGGTAGCATGGAAAGGGGGGTCGTATTTGAGCGTAGAATCAGGGGGAGTCGTATTTTTCAGGAAATTGATCACAACGTGTTGGCGTGCCATGGTTGTAAGCGTGCCACTTGCCACTACCCACCTCCTTTTGAATAAAATGAATAATAAATAAATAGCGCTTGTGATTATTAAATATACCCCTCCACGATTCCTCGTGCCTGAAGTTGCAGTGTGCGTTTTTTATAGGAAATGATTACTTTCGATGCGACACCCGTAGGTTTTAAATGAGATTGCTCTTCAGCAAAACCTACTACGAACCAAACGCCTTCAAAACCGTGAAGGACAACTACGTATCCACAGCGACCAAGGTTATCACGAGATTTATGAGAGAGCAGGTGAAAATTTGTTGTAAGATCTTATCTCAAACATGACTATATTGGAATCCCCATTCAGAACCTTACCGCCAGTGCCAATCTTAGGGATCAAGTACAGGGACTAGTCGAGTTTGAACAAATGATCGCTAACACGTACAGGTGAGCAGTGCACATGCACGATTTTCTAATACTTCTGACTGCAGTTAATTAACTAGTTATTATTATAAACTTCTTTCAAGCGGAGGGCCCCATGGCTGAGGGTGTTACTGCCAACGTCACTAGTGGGAAGGATGAATAGGGTGTGGCCAAAAGCCCTCTCACAGCCCCATCGACCACGTGGGCAATAAACACCGCTCAGCACTGCCTTTAAAGGCCAAAGTCCGCGGTCATTCGCTATCACAGGTAGTCTACTAGAGGTTTGCAGATACCCGACAAGGTGCTGAGTCATTCGGTAGTGAAGAAAAAAAAGAGCAGAAAATCGTGCCAAATGCCCCAGATAGGATCCCATTTCCATCCATTTGTACGTGCGAAATCAACACCTTCTGCAACACTACGCCTTCATCCGCAGAGCTGATTGCCCGACAAGGCAGCGTTCAGACTTCGCGACGGCAGCGCTTTAATCGTGCCTCCCATGGCGCAATCGATGCGCAGTGGAAGGCATGCGCATCGATTGCGCCGAACGCGTGACCGAAGCGCTGCCGTCGTGAAGTCTGAACGCTGCCTAAGAACTCTATGGCTGGACAAGTGAAGATTTTCTCGCTTTTTTGTCCTGCAGCTCCGCTTTTTAGGGGGGGGGGGAGTAGTGAGGGCGGGGTCTGGAGGTGGAGTCACTGAAAAAGGACTCGTCACTGGACCTATGCTTTGCCATAGCATCTCTCCCTTACGATTTTTTTGCCGCACAACCGGTACAATGTTGTTCGTCGCGTGACACACCTTAACGATGCCATATTTTCAACTTCTACCCCTGATCGCGGACTGTGCCTTCAAGGCACTGCTGATTTAGAACCCACCTATAAGAAATTTTTTCAGTACGGACGACACCACTCGTAGAACGTACAACCGTTCGTGGAATCTCAAGGGTGTTGACGATCTCCAAAACGCGTATCCATTCATGAACTGGAAAGTGTACTTGAATCAGGTATTGTGAGCACGCCCGTCGTCTTCTCTTGGACTAAACTATCTCGTTTCAGTGTAAGAATAATGCTCTTTGGGAGGGGGCTTCTAATCTTCCAGGATCATGTGTTATTCGTTTGATCCTCCACTAGAAGTATTTACACTGAAGGCACACTCTGTGATAACCCAAAGGGCGGAAACACCGAACACCCTGTTAGCACGTTCAGTGTCTTTGCCGCCTTGGAATGACGAGAGCACTATCTAAGATGCTATACCATCTGGTTGTAGCGAAATGAGCTTGGAAAACTTCAGATAAAGCAGTACAAATCGAACCAGGACATGGTTCACTAGAAACTGAGCGTAAAACTATTCTAGGAATGCCCATATGACTCCGTCCAGTTGAAGTCGTAGAAGTTCACTGCGCCTTTGGTGCTAACGAGTTCGGAAAAAACTTGAGGTGATGTTCGTCATCGCAAGTATCAAGTTATCCAGTAATTCTTAAGTCAGGCGGAGGTGGTGTAGTGGCAAAGGGACGGCAAATTGGTTTTAAGCTCGTCTGGGAGCAAGGACACTGACTTGTACATCGGCTAGCCCCCGCAGTTATTGTATAGGGCACATCGCATTCAGTAAGCCATTATGATTTTGAATGGAAGTGGAATGCGTGTCGCATCCCAAAAAAGGAACTGGTCTTGGACGTAGACTTTATCCTTTATCCTTTTTTTTCATACAGTAATAAAACAGCAGCCAATACTGACAGACCTGCCCGTGCTCTGAACGACCTAAGAGTTCAATAAAAGTTCAGCTGCTGATACGTTGAGGGCCATTTGTTTTGCAGAAGCAGTTAATACTCCATTCTCGTATGAATTCGCGTAAAAAAATCAGTCGAGTATCAAATCTAAATTGGAGTAGCTTCTTCTCTTCTTATTTACTATTTAGGTTCCAAAAACAGCCTCGACAGTCGTTTCACAGCCTGGTTTCCAAGTGTCCGTTTATGAGGTACAATTCAAATTTTCCTTTGTTTCTTCTCTCAGAGTTAACATAATTGAGACGCATTACAGCCTGATCAATACCAAAAATTCAATGCTGATTATAAAAAGTTGGACAAGACAAAGTTGATCAACTACCTGTTCATGCGCCTTCTTCTGCAAAATGCTCAATATCTTCCGACCTATGCGGATACCTTGACTGAAATGCCGGTAAGTGCCCTTTCAAAAACTAATGTCTCTATATTGAGTTGGAGTCATCTTCAGGCGTAGGGCTTGTTCGTAACTGAATGATCTTCATAAATTTCATTTTTAGTGCCTGCTATTTCCATTTTTTGTCTATATAGGAGGTGTTTCCATTCTGGAGCCCATTCCTGGCTAATTTGCTAATGCATTTCGATAGTGAAGAAAAAAAAACAGGAAAAATCGAGCCAGAGCCCACGATAGGACCCCATTCCAATCCCATTTGTACGTGTCCAGTAAACACCGTCTAAACACTACGACCTCATCCGCACAACTGATCCCCCGATAAGAACTCTACGACCGTACAAGTGACGCTTTCATGCTTTTTCTTCCTGCAGCTTCGTTTTCGCTGAAAGGCACGTCGTGAAGGCGGAGTCTGGAGGTGGAGTCACTGGAAAAAACCTACATTGCTCCCCTCCCTTACGATTTCCCGCTACGGGACCGAGGTACAAGGTTGTTCGCCGCGGACCACACTACCCTCCCGACGCCATATTTTCATTTTCTATACCTAATCTCGGACCATGTCTTTAAAGGACTCGCAAATAGAGCACGTCCTGCTGTGGGGACAATTTTATCAGAACTACGACCTCCCTGAAGAGTTTCTCTTCTGGTACCCCCCCCCCGCCTTTTTTTTCTCCATCGTTCATGCTACCTATCATCTGCCCCATTTCCCCTCATCTTTTACTTTTTTTCCGAGCTTTTTCAACGAACTTCTCCTCTACTTTTTTCCTTTTTTTGAATACGCCCCCCACCCACCCTAATCTAGCTACCAATACGACCCCCTTTCACAGGGCATCCCAACGTACGACGTACACTGTTCACAAAACTGGAGTTGCCGTGTTGAAGATTCCGGTTTCTGATTTTGAAGATTTCCGAAGGATCTTCGTCCTACAATGAACGAAAAGGGAAGGGAAAGGGGTCCCTAGGGTATAAATAGTTTTCTTTGTGCAAAAGAGAGGTCCAGCATCATGACAGTCCCAGTTTTGCACTGCACGAGGAATCCTTCCATATTTTGCGACCTTCTCTCAGCCGATATGCTCCAAGAACTCAGTGAGTTTTCAGGCGAAAATGACGCATAGGTTGCGTGAAGAAGACCCATAGCATCTGTGTCAGCCTGAAACAGCTCCTTGTTTCTGTGTTGAGGCACGCGCATACTCGTTCCTGTTGCTGCTGTCGTATTTGGAGCACAAGCTTTCCAAATGGCCGAACAATGACGCTGTGGACATGCTCAATTTTATGACCCTACCCTACACTCCAAATTGACTTTCAAAGACCCTGGGATCTCGTCGGATTGAGGCCAGCGCCCAATATACAACTGATACTATCTCATTCCGCAGTATTTACCCTTTGTCGCAATCATCCAAAATCAGACCAGTTTCTGAACGATTTTTTTTCTTCGCAGGCAGAATCGGCTCTGTGTCGTGGGGTAGTTTGACTTCCTGAACATGAATTATCACATCCGCTCGGCCAGAACCTCCTGGCGCCCGCGCCACAGGCGCCGGCGCCAAAATACCCTGAACCACTGCTGCCTGTAGTGTGGGCGTCAGAAGGTTTCAGGCCAAGTGGGTGTGGTATTCGTGTTCAATAGGTCAAACTACCCCAGAAGACATTATTTGAGCCACTCTGTCTGCGGAGAAAAAAGTCTGTTAAAACTGGCTCGAATCGGGGCAGTGAAGGGTAAATAGTGCCTCGCAATCAATCAAGGGTACGTCAGGGGGCATCAAATGAGCCCACCCGCGGCGTCTTCGCCACTGGTTGTATCTTCCTGAATAGATTGGTAGAGAAGGCAGCTGAGGCGGGCTCACTCCGCGTCTCCTAGCGTGGCCCATGCTGAATGCGTTGGTAACTGTATGGTATCCATTCTTCTCGTAGCTGGGTGTGAAAACCTCGTAGGGAAATTTCCCGAGCTTCACCTTTTAGAGCTCCATAAAAGAGCTTTTCGCTCACGGGATGTTCCTTAAAGGGTAGAAACGATTTTCGAATCGTTTTCTTTGGGAACGTCATGTTAAAGGCAAACTTCGCGAATGTATTTTGTGGATAGTGGCGTTCAGTAACGAACATATAGATGCGAAGGGAATCTTCAGGGACCAAAAAGGTAAAAAAATTATGGAGACTACCGTAAGGACCCTCTGGCAGTCCCACTGTACGAGTTGTCCATGCCCACTCGTTTTGTGCCAGCCAGCGATATCCTACCGTCTCTGACTCACTACTCTTTTCTTCGAGTCATGCTAACACCAAAAAAGAGAAACGCGTTGTGAAAACTGAGGCCATGAAAAAACAGTCCTCGAGTTCTGATGGGCGGGGCAACTAGGAAAGGCGTAAGACCTGCCACTTATGAGGGCCGCAGCGCCTACGTTACTCCCTGTGAAGCCTCGAAAGTGGGACAGTCCTAGATATTGAGGCCCAGACTACTAGTACTAGAAAAAAGACCTAGGAACTGCTTAAGCGCGGAGCTGTCTTTAAAGCTTTATCAGTAAAATCAGAGAATCACTTACGTCGAATCAGCGCAACAGATAAACCGGAGCATTTCCAGCTCGGCTTCACCACCAAGATGTGCCCTAGAAAATGCGTCCTCTCCTAAACCCTAAACTCTCCTAAACCGGTTATCATCTGTGGTTGGTTCTACAGTTTCACAGGAGAACCTTTGAAGCAATGAAAATGAAGTCGGCTCGTCTCCATCTCAGCCATTAGCACGGACTCTGGGCGCAGTTCGCCGACGGATGGGTGGGGAAAGGCATTTTGCACTTTCGTTGCTTCACTAGTTCTGGTCCACAAGTCCACTCTGGTGAAACCTGTGAACTCTTGTGAAGCTGGAGCAAGCTCGTCAAGCCATCATGGTAAAAACTGTCAACTGGAGAAGCTGTCCGGATGGGTCGGAAGTAGCGAAAGCGCAAAATTCAGTCGCCAAACAGGGCCCAGGCTCTGTTTATAAATAGCAGCATTAGTCGATTCGAGTAAGATATTAACAGAAAAAACTGAGGGGGAAACAAGGAAATGAGGGGGAGGTGCCTTCAGGGTTACCACGAAGACGTTCTTAAAGCATCAGGCCTTCAAGTAATACTGCCTTTCAAGGATAGTGCTCCTTAACAGTCTGCATGGCAAAATGTTTTAGGTAGAATCGTTGAAGCTGGGCCGCAAGCGACGTGTGTTCCGATTCAAAAAAAGCGATCATCTGGCTGACACCCAAGCTGATTGTGCTGGAATGGCCAACGATCTGATGCAGTTTGCAAACGGACGAGTTTTCATTGACTATCTATATCCAGATGATGCCTCGAAGACAATGATCAGAAAGTAATTACTCAATCTTACCCATAAAATCATTCCGTAATGATTGGGCAGTATCTGAAAGGTATGATTTCAGCACAGCTGGAGGAGTGATTCAAAATGTGATCCATTCCTTCCAAGGGATGATCGATCAATTAGACTGGATGACTCCTGAAATCAAGAAGAAAGCAAATGAAAAGACTAACGGAATTGGTTTGTTGATGCTCACGCTCTCACTAAACCACTCAAATTAACGGTGCGACAGTAACGGTATCAGAACAAAAGTCTGGGTATTGGGGCTCATAAGGATGCCAAGAAGTCACTTGGTGGAGAAAGAAACAGAAAAAAAGTCGACATCAGTCTGAACTAAACCCCCGAGCGAGCGCATTTGTACGAGCAGAAGGGCGAGAAAGGGGTGTGGGGGGACGAGATCACCGGACGGTAGTGTGTCGTGGTCGATATAGTCTCATTTATTCCACCTAGTTTTGGCAATGTCTCTGTGCACGTTATCTGATGGGTTGCTGTTAGGCTACGTTCATGCTTTGCGGCAGCGTCCAGAGCGGATACCAGCCTTTCGAGCGTCTGTCACCGCCGCTGCCTAGAAAACCATAGATATCTATCAAGCGCCCACCAGTGTCTAGCAGGCCTAGCAGCGTCTACCAGCTTCCACTAGCGACTGGAAAAGTATGGATATTGATTTAGCGAGCGCCAGTGTCCACTAGCCACCAGCAATTTGTCCATATCGCTGTATCAACCAGCGACCAGGAATTCATTGATATAGATCTAGCGAACGCCAGCGTCCACCAGCGTCCAGGAGTGGAGAGTGTAGGGAATAGAAGGGCGACAGAGTGGTTACAGAGTACAGTATGAGAAAGAAGGAGGGTAACATACAGGGTGGATTAGGCGTCGTGAAGTGCGGCGTGTGCAACCGTATTCCACTACTACTCAGTACATTAAACTGCATAATTCTGGTATTTAGCAGTTGCACAGGTGCTTTGTGAACGCTGACATTCGCTAGATCGATGTCCATTCGCTAGATCGATGTCCATACTCTGGTATCTGGCGCGAACGGACGCTCGAAGCGCTGGTGATGGCCGTAGAGTACGAACGCATCCTAATTTTGACTATGTCGAGAAGTGGGTGGGGCCAATGAAGGTGGGTCGAGCCAGTGGGAGGAACGACCTTAGGTTAGATGCTCTCGTGACTCTTTTTTGCCCTGGAGCAACGCTACCATTGTGGACCAAGCTGCTTGCGAATGGTAAGCAACTTCAATTTAATCTGAGCGTGCCTTCAGGAGAGTAGAGGGTATCGATAGCTCTATGGTATCCCATTTAGAAGGCCCTTCAGTCATATTAGTGTAAATGGCTAAGAATCGAGACTCGGGGTCTACATCTGGTTCGGAGATCAGCAAGCCTTGACATCCACTCTGTTTAAAACAAAGTAAAGAACGGTGGGCTGGGTCCTTCCCATGAAAGTATACTTTTCAACGTCCTATTCACAGTAATCAGAAAGCAAATGGGAAAATGGTATAGCATTGAAGACGCATTTTCCATCCAGGTGCTTGGAGAGCCATGTCCATGGAGCTAGTTGGGAATACGGTAGCGTTGGACAGTTGCTTGCTTAAACAAAGACGTGGATCGTGGCACGTGTGTAAGAGAGCCCACGCGGCACTAGAGCCGTTAACGCATGTGTGATCTTCCCCCTCAAGAGACGAAAGTTGTTCACAAATCCACAGCCTCGTCACGATGGCACCCTTCTGAGACCCGTGGCGCCACGGTCCTGTGCAGGAGTACTGGTGATAGGATCCCTGTTGCTCATATCTCTACTA